ATATAAAAATACAAAATCTTAATTTCTACTAAATCAAGATTGCTAGCTGAATATATCTAATTGTTAACTGATATAGATAAAGTATAAATATATATGACTTTATGAACAAAAATCACAAAGAAACGTGCCATCTTTTTCTGCGCTGGTGCAATCCAATTGGTCAGTTCTTATCCCATCTTCGATTCTAATTTGCTGTGTTAATCTGTTTTATTAATTAATCTGTTGCCCCTGTGCTAAATGCTTCTTAAGGACCAATTTCTTTATTTATTATTTTCATACATATATTCGTTGAGCCAAATAAACAGAACATCAATTTTTATTTTTTCTAACTGATAGTTTTCAAATATTCATGTCATTTAATACTTAAATAATTATTTAACGAAAAAGTAATAATTATTGAAATAATTGAAGTATGCCGTTTTGCCCCACGCATCATAATTCAGAAAAGCGTTTAAAATTTACAATTTGGCATGACATAAAGAAATAATGTAAATGTCAAATATACAGCTTCAAGAACGTAGACCCAGTATTGTAGTTATCTTGTCCAATTTTTTATTCGAATGGTAAAAAAGGAAGTGCTTCAAACAACTATGTAACATGAAAACTTTGTCACTGAATATCTTTTCAATGCTTTTAATCTAAAAATAACTCATGCATTACTTTGTAGTCGATTTGAAACCACACCGAGGACTTATTAGAACCATGTCAGGCGATTTCAACTCGATACAAGCTCCTTATCTATGAAAAACATTACTGTTCCGTTTTACCTGACCTTTCCTTTTTTACCCTACTCTCTCCTAAATGTAAATTTTGAAAAGGAATGCATTTCCTGTTAAATAGAATACTTATAATATACGCAAGGTGAGATATTTAAAACAGGTTACCTGAATAAGTTACCTACTTTCAATTATACAAAAAAAAATGTCTGATTCCAATCTTGTTTGCTTTCAAGGAAAGATAATCTGATATTAATAAGATGTTTTATAGATAGAGCTGTAGAGGAGACATTACGAACAACTTTGTTACCAGAGATATCATTTTCAAGAAATAAAACAGGAAAATATTCATAAATATTTAAAGAAAATATGAAAAATGTGTTAAAAAATTGTTAAATATAGAGGTTTTTCTAGACACGTAAACGCTACGCAGTTGAAATATGGAATATTTGCAAAGCTTTTATTGTGTAAATTGGTTCTGTGAAGAATGGTACTCTTAAAATATCTAACTTTTGATGTTTATTACAACTATAATATTTTCTAAATTACATTAACTGTTTCGTTTCCGAGGTTTATAGATAATTAAGAATGAAACTAAATTCAGTAGACATCGATTCCAGAAAGTTGACTTTTCGGCAAACTGTCACCTACTTTGCCGATCCAGCCCACTATGCGCTCTCGCGGTCGATCGATCAGGGAACAATAATGCGAATTTCGATGGAATACCACGTCCCATCCGCGCTCACCGTGACTCGAATTCTAATCTCGAAGCTCATTGCCAGTACTCGCAGGTCGACAGGAAGATTAGTTACTCGAGTGGCACATAATATGTGTACGATAAAGAAACGTAAAGGGCGAACGAACGAGCAGATGGTATCCACATTCCGGCTCTCGGGCCGCCTCGTTTGCAGCCACCTTGCGCGATTTTGTATTCAGACGTATAACATTGTCCCGCACTTTCGTTGCCTCGTTTGATAAATGCTGGATCGCGTGCCAACGGGAATTTATGCGACGCATAATTGACCGCGTGCTCTATCGAATGCCGGTAAAGCAAACGAGCTCGTTTCGGCTGCTGAATGGGAGGCGATTAAAATTACTCAGATCAAAATTTCATTAATCAAGAATTCATTGTGCGCCGGGACTTTGATTAACCAGGCGCCGATTACCCGCAGTCTTGGTTACACGGTACGGACGGACTATGCGCGAAATTGATTCCTCAATTTATTTCATGGATTCGAGGGGGGCATGAGGCAATTGACTCGTTTATTGAGCATGCACATGAAAAAGTAATTGTTTGGTGACAATAGTTATTCATCGAAGTGTACGACGTTGGGTACTGATTAATGTCCATTTTATCCAATAGATTCAAAGTCTTTCCTCGTACAGTAAACGATTCTTTTGTAATTTAAATTGGAGAGATTATTTATAAGGGAATTTTTTATAATATGTATTATAATATGTTATTTATAATGTTATAAATCGGTAGTTATAGTGATACCATAATGTATAATGTTTATTTAATTTATTAATGTAGTAGTAGCATATAATTATAGTAATTGGTAATTATAGTGTACATATTCATGTTGTAAATTATATAAGATTTACAATAAACCTTCTACTAGATTTACAGCTTTTAACGTTGTAACTCTTTTTTCTTAGCCTAGTTGTGCTAACCGTGACATTTTCAAACTAGTTAATCTTTAATTATTATTTCCGTTATATCGCATCGGAAATTGCGCTTCTTAATCAATTGCTCGATTTTATGGTCTGCGGAACTTCGTTAAACAAAACGATATCGAAGATGTTTATCTTTCGACTGAATATTATTAGCATATACCTGAATCTTCCGTTAAAGAAGTAATTTAGAACTTCGATAATTTAATGATAACGAAATACCTGTATTGCTGTTAGATCAGTAATAAATATCTGGAAGAGGAAGTGGTTTTTAAGAAACATCTCTGGTTTGTACAGTTAAAGAAGAGAATTTATGTTCAGAATATTTATACTATCTTTCAAGACAAGAGCACGCAACCCATATTTTAACATTAACATTACCAGCATTTTGTATATACCTATTTCTACCGTAATCAAGCAAGTAAGTGGTTATTGTTAAAGGTACCAGTAAGTGATCTGATATGTATCAGTAGTTACCATTTTTCATAAAAATGTAAAAAATAAAGTTTTTAACAATAATAATCTTTCGATAAAGGCGCGATAGACATGATGCAGCATCTACCGATTCAACTCCGAAACACTTTTATCTAAATTAAATTGTTTATCGTAAAAACTAATAATTGATTTCATTGACTTTGGTTCTATGTCTCTAATTTACAACGTGGAATTAATTTCTTTTCATTTGTATTTGTTTTTTTACTTGTAATTTGTCATAATCGTCGCAAAAACAGTAAAGGTAATATTAAATCACCTTTACTGTTTTTGGATATACTATAAGTGGTCAACTAACCTATTAATGCTAACTAACTATACAATTACTAATTTTCTCGGTTATAAGAATAATCAACTTCTAACGCTAGCATTGAATTTTCAAAAATGACTATAATATTTAGATAATATAATTATTTCGAAATAGTTCGCTTTATTATATGATATAAGAAGTTCAAATAGCATTTTCACACATGGCGTCTCTATATTTAATAAAGAAGCAAGTGTTTACTATCATTCATGCAGAAAATTGTTCTTAACTGGTCAACTATTGGTGCTTTTACCTTAAAAAGAAACAAGTTCAGCAACCACTTTTTTTCACTGGAAATATAAACAAAAGGAAAGACAAAAATTTATAAAGTGAGTAATCTGGCAATATAGGAATTGATATAAAGTTACATAACCGAAAGAAAACACAGAATTTTTAATTCCCTTACAATTATAAAATCGGTCATTTGACCGGTTCGCGGTACGGTTAGTGTTAACAATTATACTTGGTTTCTGATACTTTTCCATGCGAGTAACTTTCATTTGCTTTGACGCAAAACAGATATAATATGTGTATCATAAAAACCATGGTTTGATCTTAGTTTGATATAGGACACGTAGTATAAAGCATAAATATTACATTTTCAATTAATTGCTACAAAACTACTTATAAAAAGTAACTACAAAATTATCTGTAGCAAATCCTACATCTCGAATTTCTACCTTATCGCTATATGGTATATACAATCTCGGTACCAATCATCACGGAATATAACGAAAAGTTGAACTCGTAAACAATTTGTGGAACATTTCATATCAAGTTTCTGACGAGAAATTGAACCATTCATAACGTTTTATAAATTTATTTTGAGACTGAGTTCTCTCGCGGTACAAATAGTAAGGTGCCATCATATACGCAACGATATATCGCCGTTGGCACTTCTTGCAAGTGTTGTCGATATATCACAGGGTAGACCACGAAGAGTTAAGCTGATCACTCTTCGTGGTCCACCCTGTGTAAAAAGAATTCCTATATCAAATAATCCAGAAGCGAATCAACAGTTTATCACGATTTCAAATTTATTTGCATTTAAACATTTAAATGCAACCTTTAGATGTGCAGAAGTGAATACTTATCTATTCTTACCGCACACAGCGTGTACAGCATAATAAGTTCTGCTAGAAACATAATCACAGGTTCTCACATGCCGCGATTGAAGGATGCGAACGCTTTTAGGTATTTTCCAGCGCACGAAACGCGGGAGAAATGATCAGTACTTCAAACAATGCCAACAGAACCGACAGGCATAGCTCTGAGCAGATAGAATTCAACTTCTAAGCCCGATATTTACATAAAGGTTCTCGCATATCGGAATACCTACGTGGTACGACTGTTTTTTGCGTGATCATAATTATATATTAAACGCGGGTAATTTATGGGCAGCACGCATCATGTACGGAACAGTAACATCTTGCTCCCGCAACGATATTAATAATAGCATAACTGTTAATCGTTTCTTTTCTTGTGTGGTATTAAATTTTCATCACATTCATAAAATTAACAGCGGGAGTTCTTCCAGTCGGAATCACCTCCACGCGTTAATAAAATCAGTATTACAAGCTTACTAATTATTTTTTGCGCAGGCTTTTTTGCACAGAGCAATTATGAAATTATAATAAGATGACATTTATAAAATTACTTGCTTAGAAACGCGCCGCTCGGGAATAAACGCAACCGTGGAGGAGCACTGAACACAAGTTTGCCATCGTTTCATTAGTTGATTGAACGCTTATGCCCTGCATCCTGTTGCACGTTCCACGCTAACTCTTCTTCATTATCGATAAAATTAAAACATGGCTCCATTTGCCTTCCGCCGATGCGTCAGTTCCATATATGGTGAGAATGATTATAAGGATTTCGAGGATTTTGAAGATATTGATAGAATCAAACCATTAGGCCTTTTACTTCTGGTAAAAGTAGATTTGTGGCATGTTGGAACTCGTTATGCGTGAGACCTTACAGACAAACTGCTGGCTTTTTGGGCTATTAGTGAACTGACAGAGGACGCAGGACCTAGAAGCAAATTGTGGTAAAAATGCTACAAAAGAAAAAAGATGTATATAATATAATAATATAACATAATAATATATTATAATATTAATTTGTAGATTTTCCAAAACGTGTAACTCTACAAAATGAAGAGTATCAAATAAATCCAAATAAGACTTGGAATCATTCGGAAGTGTTGTTAAACACTTGTAATAATCTAGTTTTCAATTAATCTCAGCAGTCACATTTAAAATAAAAATTACAATGCAGATAAAATGTATGATACAGGAAACACGTATTAAAACAATTTATGCACTTGTTCTAGGAGACACCCTGTACATTGACGCTTATAAATTTATAGAGATACCGAACGTAGGCAACATCCCGTTTTACGTTCATGACTCGTTATGCGATCCCAGAAATCCATTTCGCAACCTTTAATCGATCGAAGCTTATCCTAGAATTAACCAGTCCCGTGAGTGATCACGTTATTCCAGCAGCGTGTGATTTAATACGGATGTTAACACAAAATGTTCATGGATATTGACTTGCCGCACAAGTTCATTGGCCAAACCGCTCAGATATACATTAATAATTGCAAACAATTAGTCACAGCAATGGATGTCGTCTTCGAGAATTGCGAAGGAATTTACATAGGACAAGTCGAAGAGAGATGGTCACTTTTTTAAAAGAACTGTTCCAACATAAATATTATTGATATCTAACGAAAGATTAACTATCCTTCTTATATACACCTGTAGATACATTCATGTTCATAAATATATTTTAATTTTAACTATTTATTACTAGTAAATAATAACAGTGTTACTACTATATATTTGTAGGAGGAAGAGAATTTTATTAGAAACAGTATGATTATTTCTTGACAACTCACAATAAAACACTAACTAAATGAAACAACGCATACACTATTTATATACTCAGATGCTCTTGTCTCGCTCACACACTTTTTAGAACATTCTTTCATTGCCATGCATTAACTTCACATATATTTGGAATATTCTAGATTCATAAAAAAAACGAACATTATTAACATACAGAGAAAATCAATATAATCTAGAATATTCCAACGCTTTGAACATTCATTCAGAACGCGCTCACACACACAGTCGCGTCATTCATCTATTGCACAGCTCAAATACATCCATTCCCACATATTTATAATAATACTATTTAAATATTCAACTATTCAACTATTCAACCATTCGACTGTTCGACTATTCAACTATTCCAGTATTAAACTATTTTTTAACGTATTTAAATATTCTTCTATTTATAGATATATTGTAATAGGTCTCTATACAAGAGTCAGTATATCACTACTAAAAAGTGCAGCGTTACACTTTTTAAGCGGATGCTAATGTGCGATTTTTGTCAATCAAGTGTATTTATGTATGTTTGATAAAAGACATATAGCATAAATTACTGAATTGATATATACATTCACCGACAATCGATAGAAATAGCAGTAGTTGTAGTAACGTTTTGTGAACATTATTTCTTGAATTCCCTCTGACATGCAACATTTTTGCTTGCTTGTTTTTATTGGATGGATCTCTTTTGCGCCAATACGTAAGTATTTTAAGAGTTTTGATTGCATTTGACAAAGCAAATTTCAACCATAGAACAGTACAGACAGTAACAGGGACTCGTGATGAAGTTTTAAAACTGGTTCTAACAAATATAAGTTTTATTTTATTTATTTAAAGTCGAAATCAAATTGATCTTCCACTTTTGATCATTTAACTTTTACTGTAAACAAAGATTTACAAATAAACGTAGAATCCTTTCTTTTTCTAGTGAATTATTCAAGATAATATAAATTGCAAGATGGTAGTTGCAAAAGTAATCAATAAGGCAAAAGATTACGAGAACAAAATATAACATTTCAATGAAATTTTTATACGACACAATAGAATGGAACCGTGTAATTTATAAATTATACAAACCGATCACTGCCACGAGGTGTCACCATATATAATAAAAGAAGAATGTATTAATATATTCTTATTATTATTTCTTTTACCTCGGTTGCATTATTTATTCAAATTAAGAAACGTATTGTGAAAGAGTCTCGTCTAGCATTTAACCAAAAGATCAACAGTTCGTTACGTTAGGAAAATAAAACCACGTGACTCCTTTTTTTCTGAAATAAATGTAAATACACGATTCCCGTGAAAACAGATAGTACTACATTCCATAAATTAGACGCGGCATAAATTATTCAATGGTCTTACATGTATATATCATTGACGAAGAACAGAAATGGCAGTACTTACGATGAGATTGTGCGAACTCCATTCGTTAGGTCTTCTCTAATATGAAGAACTTTCGTTTGCTTACTTTCCTAAGTCTCACGCTGTCAAGTGAGTATTTGTCTACCAGTTTCGAATCGCATTTGAAATAGTAGCTTTTAATTATCCGTGCAATACCTAAATGTTAATGTGAGAATATGAAATATGACACTTATTCTTTTAATCAGAAATTGAAATCGGTTATGATATCGACTTCGGTTCTTGAAACAGTTGTGAAGAACCGAAATAAATCATAGCTGTTATTCGGTATACAGTGGAGCACCGAATTACATCCTCCCGATTTACGTCGTTTCGCAATTACATTGTCTCTACGTAACTCGGTAGTCAATTGTTCTTAACCAATGTTTCTCGCTCTACGTGTTTAGTTTCGACTGGATCAGTCTGAAACTTATTTGAATAAAGAGCTTTAATCGGTAAATAATTTCATAATTTCAATCATTGCCTGCATATAGTTTATACACAGTTTAAAAGCATATAGAAATATATCTACAGTAAATTTAAGTAGACAAGTGCAATTAATCTTTATGTATGAATAAATTTATTTATGTATGTGTAACGGCACCACAGCGTCAGGTGTCTTTAAATTATATTGTTGAAAAAAGAAATACTGTAAGTTTAAAAACTAAATTAGAAATAGTATAACCTTCTGATAATGAAATACAAGATTTCGAGATTAACTAAAAAATAAATTTGCCCAGAAGCAATTGTGAATTCGTTTCTTAAAGTTTTCGGTTCTTCGTAGACATTCGTTAAGTGTAATCTTTTCTATCATTTTTACACATTTAAAAGAAAATCTATCTCCTAATCTGATAAATTCATGTACAAATATGTATGTTCTCATATATGCATACATGTCTCATCTATGTATTCCGATTTATGTTCTTCTCGACTTACGTCGCCGACTTCGGAGAAAATTAGGACGTAAGTTCTGTGGTTCCACTATATTGGTTCTGAGCTATATCGGTTTTGGTTCTGGTTCTTCAGAACTGATGTGATATCGATATTAATCATTTGCACTCCGGAGGCGCTTCTCAGTCGGTTTGACATAACAAAATTGTAAAATTTGATATTTAATATGAAACTTTGTATAATGTATCAATATGTAAGATATTGAAAAAAAATAGTTTTCTTCCTCGATGTATGTGCGATTTCTCGACAAGTCAATTTCAGAAAATGTCATCTACATCTCAATAGCAAATATTGAGTATTTCTAGTGAAAAACTTGTGGAGTGCAAAAAGTTAAACTATATTGTACGTTCGCCTGACGCACCGTACAACCATTTTAGCAATGAATCGGAAAGCTTGCTAGGTTGCAATAAACAAGCTAAAATTTCCTGAAAGTGCGCAGTAAAAATTTGGTAAGCAGCTATTGAAAGTTGATACAGAATACGGTAAAGTAAATAATTTCGGCGTGTATGATGGCCTTCTAAGTTTATTACCTACGACCATTAAGACTTTGGAAACCGTTATCCGTCCGACGGCCACGCGCGACAGTTAGAGCAGTACTTAAGAATTTAACCAATTGACTGCGTTTGACGAGTATACACTTCACAATATTTGAAATATTGATAATACTGTTAGTAAGTAACATAAAGTAAATTTTACATAAATTAGGGGTTGGAAGTAATTTATTTCTAAGCTTCATATGTCGATACCTAATACAAAATTGAATATTGAATTTTAATGTTCATCATTCTGGTGTATCACATCAAATGGCGAATAAGAGTCGCCTCTTGAGTGCAAAGGGTTAACAGGTTTAGGCCCCCATACATGTTGAAACATGCGGCGACAAGCGATGAGTTTTAGGCTTTTTCACTTTTTGTTTGAGTGCAACATGTGTCATGAAATTTTTGAAGACTCAAACCCACCGCTTGTAGCGGTACCTGCATCGTCGCTGGCTGCATCGTGTGTGGGGACCTTTACCCTTAATTTTACCAGCAAAGGTGTACTCTTCCATCTCTATCAAGATTTTTATCAATAAGCATGTATTTTCCTACCCCCAGTAGCAGATCCTCCTCCGAATAGCTACATGACTTCGAGGAAGCTGGAGCTTCCTGAAAATCTCAGTCATTCTGTAAATATTGAGCCGACTACATTAAAACATATAAGAACTTATTCACGGTGTCACAAGTATTGTTATTAGTTCTATCCATCTGACATACCACCAATTCCTAACTAGTCCTCGCGACATTAATTTTCTGCCGAGCATACCGGTCATCGCGGTTTCGATTTACTAAAGCAACTAGTCACGAGTACATGGCCGTACAGTACCGTATTGTATATTTTTTGGTTCTTGGAACAGTTATGAAGAACCGAAAAATAATAGTTATAGAACCGTTTCAGAACAGGAACTGAAATCAATATACCTACTTATTTCGGTTCTTTATAACTGTTTTAAGAATCGAAAGCGATACATTATGAATGATTCACTTGTCAAGTCAATTAACTTCACTTTTAGAATTTTTTAAGATTTTATCGTTAAAACACTTCATTGTCTCTCGACTTTTCATATTAAAAATAAATTCTTTTATTATTGAGTGTGATACCATGAAATAACAAAAATGCTATTGCCTACGCAAAACTTGCAGTAATAATAAAAATTACTTCGGAGTTACACTATTTTATAAATTTTACATATTCTTTAGATTAAAGCTACACCTATAATAATGAAGTAAAATACGTTCTATATTGATTATTTAATTTTCTATTTAAAGGGAAATTTTGAAAATTATTGGATTGTTATTGCATCACTTTTCTCCATTTTTTGTTTTATGGAGTCACTCTATTTGGCAAGTCAGCCATTCATATAACAGTTTCAAACAGTTATTTTTGGAACTTTTCCAATTTCTGCTTTCAGTATACGAAATGTACGAATATATTTTATTATCACAGGAATTAAACAATTAACATTAGTGTGTCTACAAAACAGTTATTTCGAATAAAATGTTTATTATTTTGCATTATCATATATTACCTTTGCGATATTTCGTTGATACTTCGTAGAAAATTTTTTCATTTTGTCATTGAAGCATGGGCAGATAGAATGACAAAAGTTTCCGATAAAGTGTTTTTGTTTACTTAAATATTGGCGTAACGAAATAAAACACAATAGTTTAGTAAATGATACAAACTTTTACGACGCACGTTGTACGACACGTGTTTGGAACTGAACGATAATGTAATTGTGAAGTATGCGAAGGTAAATAATATTTCAAAATAGAACATTACTGTTGGGTTTATTAAATAATGACACTTCTTTATTTATTAAATAGAATACAAATCTTATTACAACAGGACTATTAATACGAAGGATAAACAAACAAACCACTAATAACAAAATCGTTACCCAGAACAACAAAACATACGTCGATATCTATGTATATATTATATATACGTGCTATACTTTTCTAACAATTGCTCTCAACCTGAAATGCAAAATGACGGTTTCTTCGTCGCATATGAATGTTAATAATATAGCAAGTCATCCAACAAATTTTATAAATGAAATTTAAAAATGATATTGTGTACAGAGTGTGTAGCTGACATTACATATTATTACAATAATTCACGTATTGATGCGTTATATGAAGCTTAATATTATATGTAATACTTTGTAATTTTCCTATGTCGAATCAAGTAGAGACTGAGCATCACCTCTCGAGTGCAAAAGGTGTAATATCCTTAATAACAATTGTTACAGCTTATATGAACTATACGAATATAACAGTCTTCGCAATTGATTATAGCAAGCTCATAGATTTTAATTATTTGATCAGTGTGATAAAGGTTAACAATATCTCTGAAGCTAGTACTTTCAATAAATTGTATAATGCTGGTGTCAACCAACCGAAATGCATGCATCTTATTGGGCATTCTTTGAGTGGACAACTTGTTGCACGTGTAGGAGAGCATTTGGTCTTTCCTGCTTACAAGATAACAGGTACGTATGAATTTATATGTAATTATTAAATACGATTTTTCCGCATAACTGTCAACAGAGCAAATTGTTCGATGAAGTGATTCCCTTTGACATTACAACTATCGAGCAGTTAAATTGACTTTTTAAAATTCTTCTATTATAACTCCGAGAATGCATCTATTGAAGCTTTAATTGACTTACAATTCAGTTTGCGTATTGATAAATCAATTTCTTTAATAATTTCTCAAAAAAACATCTGTTATCTTTTGAATATTTGCAAAAAGGAGAAATCAGGAATGGGTCATTTTGACCCGTTTGGTAATTTTAGTGTTAATGAAGTTTCGTTTTTTAGAACAACAAGTTTGAAAGTTTATTAACTGATTCTACGATTAAGTACAATATGACAGACACGTTTATCCAACGTTCATTATAACTGTTATCGGACATTAATAATTCAAAATTTTCAAGGAGGAAGCAACAAACAATACTTAACCAAAATTTTACAGTGGCATGGGTAATAAATGTATTATTTAACACATTCCGTGCCACTGGAAATTTCGGTTGTATCTTCCTTATAAAGTGCACTGACTTTTTAAGTGAAATATTAAGTTACATTCAAGTTCTTGGTGACTTTTATATATGTTTTAATATGATTTTTGTACATTTTCGCTGCTTCGCGACGTGTACTGCTATTCTTTGACACATGTTTCACAAAAAAGCTTTCCTTACAAAGATTATGCGTGTACCACAAATGGTAGACGTGACAAAGAACGTGTTAAATTGATTATATGTCCAATAGAATCGTGTATTATAGTACCATTAAGAAAACGATATGTTTCATTTACATGATATTTTAAACGAAAACGATTGTAGATTTAATATTAAAAATTGTAGAGTGTTAATACAATGATGGCAATAACATTAAATTACGATTCTCGAAAAGTAGTTTTTAATCATTTAAGACAAACATAATTGAATGTAAAACATGTGTTACACGTAGATATTCATACGTCTCTTAATCATATGTTAATATTTTTTTACCATGTTAAATTACTTTTTACAGGTTTGGATTTCGCTGACCCCTTATTCCTCAGAGACCATTTAAATGTCAAAGATGCCCTGTTCGTCGATGTAATACACACTGATGCAGAAGATTACGGTCAAATATTTGACAGTGGCTCTGTAAATTTTAAACCGAATTTTGGGCGTAGAATACAGCCTAGCTGTCCTATAGTTAACATTCCTTTTTCGGACAATGGTTTGTACTTTTCATGAATAACATTTCTGATTCAATCAAGCATACACAGCACTGCAAATATTCAGATATTCATACAATTGTATACGAAATTATACTCAATATAATATAATAATCAATATACAATATAATATACAATACGTGTATATGTTTATATGCAGTGATAATATAGGGTAATTTCGGGCAAGGTGGTTTCGCAAGTAAGATGGCCCGATCTTATTTTCATTGTCAAATATACATATTTTCAATTGTTTTTAGTGGTACATTTGATCTTACAGAGAAACCTATTTAACTATCCTCCTTATACGTATTCGTTATCATAAATATATATATTTTTGTTAGGTGTTAATGATATTTATGATGTAAAAGTTCTTTTTAACAAAATTGCGTCATCTCTCGTCGACTGACTCAAAACGTATTAATAATAAGAAATAGTACAGCTGTTTGAAGAAATTAGTAGAATCAAAAAACTCAAATAGAATTTCGATTTTCCTCGCATTAAAAATAATTAAAGTTAATACATTTACTGATTACGATTAAAAGTAAATAATTAAATCGTAGATATAAGAGTGCTGAGATCTTAATCCTGTAAGTAAAAGCTTCTTTTTTTTGTGGAACTTTTAACGTTTCTTCTTGAAGTTCAATTTTCGTGGATGATGGTACTTCACAACTGATATCATACTTTTAGGGAAAAGAGAATATTTCCTACTTTCTGGGCAACATACATTACACGATTTATATATGTTACGGTAAATGTGATTAATTCGGTGATTATGTATAATTGCCGGTTATTATATATAATCACCATTAAGTCTGGTAAATGAGATGAATTTCTGAATATTTATCAAATTAACCGGCGAGTTTATATAATTCCCAACTCGCAATGGCGAATGTGATAAAAGTCCGTTACTGTTAGTTATCGGCGGTCTTTGTCGATATCGGATGCACTCTGTTTTTCTTACGCGGTCCCTTTGGCGAGCACCGAACGCACACGTGTCGCGATCAGACTTTGTCAAAAAGTCTGGCAAACTTTGTAATTCCAAATGTCATAACAGTCTAATATGTCTAAATAAGTAAACTTAAAATATTTAATAATTTGTAATAGTAGTAATAAACGTTATTTGGAAAAATGTTTTTTTTTCTCTAGAATATGGGTTTAGTTTATTTTTGATATGTAATCGTTTTGTATGAGTTCTAATAATAAAATTATTTTTTCTACTTAGGTCTTTCATTTGACAAGACATGTCAGTCCCTTATTCAAATTTCGTTCAGGCTACATCCATGTGACTTAAAATAACAATTTATTGAATTTTTAATTGTAAATTATAAAATATTGTTATTCGCAGCTTCTTGCGTCATAGTGTCCAACGAAAAACTATCCTTCTGATTAGGAACTATTGAAAAAACTGCATTGTATTCTACTGGCTTAATCGGTCAAGATATTTATCACATTCGCCATTACGAGTTGGGAATTATATAAACTCACCGGTTAATTTGATAAATATTCAGAAATTCATCTCATTTACCAGACCTAGTGGTGATTATATGTAATAACCGGCAATTATACATAATCACCGAATTAATCACATTTACCGTAACATATATACACTCCAGATGTTAGTCACGTGACTGATGTCACTAACCGTGCTGTTAATTTCACGGTATAACACAGTTTGTAAGTGTGCTCACAATTTTGTTCTTTAAAATTTAGTAAGTGCGACATATTTTGATATATTTAATATTCACCTTTGATATTGTAAAAATAATTTTATTGTAATTTGAAACTATAAGCATTAACAGTATGTTATATGATAAATATTTATAACATTTTATTTTTAATAGTTATTTATTGATTAAAGTAACTGTAAAGAAACAGTAAGCTTATAATTTTATCAGACAGTGTATATACGCAACAGTGATTTTCAATATCCTATATATTTGTGTATCACTTATGATCTTCTGTTCTTACACATTACAGCATTTTGCAGCCATCACAGGTATTGGATGTTCTGGGCGGAGTCACTTCAGAATGAAATAGGTTTCTTAGCAGTTAAATGCAGCGATAGTGTTAAGTTTGCATTAGGATTATGTGATTCTAAAGACATAATACCTATGGGGAGTTGCTACACCCCGGAATGCGTTAGTGTCATTTATTTTTTCTTTTTAACACGTTTACTGTGGAACAGTTTGTGGAATCGAACAGAAATTGAAAAATTGAAGATTCAGGACTTACAATAACGACGAATCATTTAACATAACAATTGTCACCAAACAGTTTAAAAATGATTAAAACCAGATGGCTAAAGAATTCTGTAGTAACATAAATATTAGGACAGAATACGTTTGAACTTCCGAGTCTTCGAGAGAATTTAACTGCGTTTGCTGTCTCAAATATCTCAAGGCCATTACATTTTTATTGTTATACTAGAAACAAAGTGGCAGTTCGAAATTTCAATGTATATGTACAGTTGTATGCATGTAATTATTTTTGTTCCCAGAACCGGTGTTTATTAGTTCGCACAAATGCGGAAAGTCCTTACACCATAGCAATATACGGAACAGAGAGGATTTTAGTAACATTGCGGTGAATATATTATTATTCCGCATAAATATGAAAGTGAAACAATCTGAATAAACTTCAATATACTTTATTTATACATAATCAATTGAAATGAAACTTACTGTGTTACTGAGAACTGGGTTCTTGGACACTCTAGTCCATTAACGAAATAAGCGTTGCTGAAAATACTTTTCGAAAACTTTATTAATTTCTGCAACTAACACGGCCCCCAAAAGTTGATATAAATAGTTCAATTTTTATAGACATTTTCCATAAGGTAAGCATTTCTCGGAAAATTTGCATGGCAATTTTCAAAAGAGTTTTAACGATTACAAATGGCACTCAAAGGGTTAATAATAGACTTTTCGAAACCCGTTATTTTGACGGATATGAAAGTTTATAAACACTATTTATTAACAATTTAAGTCGATTTTGATTGATTCAACTATGTGAATACGTATCCTAAATTTCAGATTTTAGAGATCTAATTTTAAAAATTTATGTGACTCAACATCCATTTTTCTAGGAACGATACAATGGAGTGGACAATAAACGTCTATAAAGATATGTAGTGGTAAATAAATGGACATTCATTTCCAAATTTTTATTTAAAGAAAAAAGAATGATATAGAAAACATAATTTAAAGACACTGCTCCCTAAGTACTTGTATATTTATATATCTATGTACCTATTGTAACTATACAACATTTTAATTAACAACGAAAAATAATGCTATTGAACAATTTTCAACCGTGTTATTTGAAATTTCGTATAATTCAAGTGTCCTGTTATTTGAGGGTTGTTTTATTAACCTCTTATCTTATGATTTCACCACGAGTCTGTCTCGATATTACAGGGGAAGAAGTTAATGAAATATTTGTCGATGCGGTTTGTTACAGTGTGGTTCTAAATCGACGCGACGATCGAATTGATAAAATATTAGACATAATGGGAGTATGTTATACAAGCTTCGGAAATGTTTATAATCGTAAGTTTGATCAAGCTAAAGAAAAGTGAAAGTGGAACATGTAACCTTCGGGTGTAAGTACATTTTCAAAGTTTGAGTTTTTGTGGTACACGGTACCGCTAGCTAGATGCTTGGCAGGTTGGTTTATGACTGCTGGGGAGTTAATCCCTTTTGTATAATGGTTGGCCTGACCTTTCCTCACCCTCACCTCCTCGAATGGAAAATTTAGTACTGAGCAGACGTATGTTTATTGAATATGGGTACCTGCAATATGCCTGAGCACGTATTGTTAGTTGAACTGAGGTTTGAACAGTTCTCTCCGGAAGCTAGCCTTTCATTTTTGGCTATATCTTCGAGTGGAAGCTGCCATTTGCAAAATAATGAACAACTTTTGAACTTGTATTTGCATAAGAAATATTCACGTTCTGGATAAGGAATTTAAAATTGCTAGTCACGTCATATATTATTTCGAGCTTACAGTTAGCTTATAGGCAATTGGGTTATTCATTGATTTACAAAACATAATCTTACCGTGATACTGATAATATTAACCCCTTGCCCTGTAACTTATTTCTTAAATATGATCGATACAACTATTTTATCATTACTAATTTACTAAGAATAGAACACATTTAATACTTATTCTGAGTTTACGTTTACTCCAAAGGTTAACGATTGTTAATAGAGAAGTAGTATTTAATTTACATTTAAAACAAATGAATAACACTTCGACTTTCTAAATTCAGTTCAAAATTTTACCACGAGTCTGATATGGTATTATAGGACAAAGGCTTATTTCCTGAATTTCAGAATTTTTAACCCCTTGACCTAGAATATCGTGTCAGACGCGTGACGAAAATTGTAAACTAAATTTGACAAATCTGAATGTTATTTATTTCTTACCTTTCTATTATCAATCGTTTTGAGTAAACGTAGACATAGAATGAGTATCAAAATTTTCTCTTTTTCTAATAAATTATTAATGATGAAGTTGTATCGATCATAGTTAAGAAATAAATCATGGGGCAAGGGTTAAGTTTCTTTCGAAGATAAGTTTTCATAACTCAACTTATTGAATATAGGTCATACTAAGGGACCAGGTCTCCGTTACTATTAATTTGTAATCACAAATTATAGTTATTATTTTATTTATTATCAAATTACATTTAAGTCAATTCGCGTACCAATTCAACTTATATTTAATTCTAAAAAAGTGTATAATATTAAAAAATGTATAATATTAAATATATATATATATTTCGTTTGCGTATATCTCGAAAACTAAAATCAACGATAACGTGTACAAACAAAAGTTATTCAGAATGATCTCGACAAAACATTTTAAAATCATCAGAGTCTAATTTCACTAATTTATAGATACACTGTATACATTTTCTACTCCCTCATTTAGTATTAAGTTTCACCTATATTATAGTGTTTTATACTTATTTTCTACCCAGCCTTTTCGTTACTTTTAATTTCTCTCTTATATATCGGAAAATCACACGATCACAAAATTATCACACGTAGTCACGTTCTATACATAACAACGCGTGAAAGGAACAGGAAAGTACAGAGAATCGCAGCCTACAGCGCTACGCATAGAAACCTACGGAGTGGTTCATAAAGATATCAAGATTACTTTAACGCTAGAACCACCGAGCATTTAATATGATCGACAACATGTTAACCGTGTAAAAATTGTATCAATAAATTATTTCCAGTTTGTTCAGATTATAGTATTCAAACGAAACTATTTATTTTTAACACCGGTGACCCCCAACCAAATCGAATTACTATGATTCACTCGATTAAACGATGATTATTTGAAAAAGTGTCCATATTAGAAATAATGAAACCTAAAACGGTGACGTTTCGCAAGACCATGCATGGTAACGCAGTTAAATAAAATACTTTAATATTGTATGTTTTTTTCTAATTCATGTACCTTGCTTCGTGAAACCGCTCGACATTCAACATGTTAAAATCATTTTAAATATTCAATGCTATTTAGGTATCAATAATTGCGAAATCAGAAAATCGAAACCAGTAATTTTGTCCAGCGCGGTAGTTCTAGCGTTAAAAGCGCTTACTAACACACACGCGCAGGAATAAATAATCTCATACTATTCCAGTTCCAATATTAACTGGTTGGTTTTATCCGAACACGTTCACCAGCGTCCGTCGCAAAAATATCACGTCTCAGTTATCAGCATAGTTATCCCGACTTCCTTCATATTAAATAACGTGTCCTCAACTTTTATCACTACATTTTAATTAGATCTGAAGCACCGCGTAAAGATCAATTAAAAGAGTGTGATCTTAAGAGAAGCCGGACAAATCAAGGTTATTGGCTGATTATGCCGATCCCTGTCTCACAGCGCGTATAATTATAGTGTGTTAATGGTCGTACGTGAGGAATGTGGAACAGACACGAGTATCAGTCAGTCGAAGCGAGAGGCAGCGAGGATGTGAGCATTTTTCGTCGATCGATCTGGCCGCATCCAGTCCGATCGGAGCCCGTGGAACGTATTTTTCGTGTAGATATGAAATTATGATAGCGACCTGCTGGAAGCTCTGTTGAATCGATTAACATCGACGGCTCAGCTGCGTGACTGAAGTAAAACGCCGGCGGGCTCTCGTGTCGGGGGCCTGAAGTGACGAAAATAAAGCGGTTTGTCGGCCAATGAGGAAACTTTAATATTTCGCCGACGGTTATACTGTGAAATCAGTAGGAAGGCGAAGGGAAAGAAGAGGTTAGATTTTGCACTGGTCATTTTGCAAAGCATATACCTGAACCTTGATTTTCGCGGACTTTTTTTACGCGAGTCTCTGTTTTACTGTATGATTAGAACAGAAATTAATCCCTTGAGCTACAATATCGTGTCTGACATGTGACGAAAATTTTAAACTGAGCTTGAAAAACTTAGTGTTGTTTCCTTTTTTAAATGTAAATGAAAATTTATTTTCTTAATAAATCATTAACTACAAAGTAGTAGAGTCGATCGTAATTAAGAAATAAATCATAAGGCAAGGGGTTAATAATCCATATACAGTGTAATTAGAACATTGGAACATTATTTACGCGGTAGTTTTTACGCTCGATCTTAATTTACACGACCAGAAAATATATTCTCCTAGAAGCTTTTATTTACTGAATCGCGTGGACGTAAAGACTAGACTAGAGATGTGAATTTATGTTTCTTTTAATGTTTCATTATTCTTTTTGCTGAGCTATTCGAAATAAATACGTATTTCTAACATTTATATTTGGCCAGGCACGAAGGTTTTCAAATGAGTATATCACTCAGGTAAATTTGGAACTTATAAAATTTGAACCTGGCTAGGTGGGCCTCAGTCGTGCACTTTCGGAATTATGAACACAACCTGATGGTCCTACCAGTTAATTAGCGTGTCGTGAAATTTAACAATTTCTATTTGGGCCTTCCTCATTCGTGCCTTTGTGACGGTTAAATTTGTGACTTAGCCCTCGAATTGCACGATTTCGGTTTAACACGATTGAAGAAGAGCGGAAGAACTTCCATTTATACGGCATTTGCATTTCACTTCAACAAGGACAGGTTAGACAACTGCAAAAATTACATTAATCTTTTGTTTCTTTGTGAATTGCATGCGCAATCTTGTTGGATGAATGAACTTTTATGTAAAAAAATGTATGTAACTTTTTATTTTCTAAAAAAGTAAATAATACTGTTCCATATGGATTTGTTAAATTTATAACATGTGTATTTCTTTTCAGTGTGCATTGTGGACTCGAATTGCTCGATTTCAATTTACACGGCATTTTCGAAAAACCAATTTACCTTGTAAATTGAGGGTTAGGTGTACCGGATTTTATTTCTTGTGTATTATATATTTAGGAAAGTTGAGGCTATTTTGAAGTTGAAATCGTAGAAACAAATGATATAGACTTACGACGAAATCGATTACTTTCTCTTTCAATCCACCAGTCTGATCTGTTGTTTTTATTTAAGATCACATTTACTTTACTGTTACTAATGACTACATTTACATCTGTCGATACATAAATGTAAGGTGT